CGGGGGTGTGTGTGTGTGTGTGTGGACGGACTCCGGACACGCGGAGGTTTGGGGGCCCCTGGTCTGGGCGGGCGCCGCGGGCCCCGCGCAGCCGGAGTCATCCCGTGGTGCCTCCAGCTCCCTGCTCCGTGGGAATGGGGTGTTGCTCGAGGGATGCTGACTCCGCTTCTCCTTCCTTTTTCCGAGGAGTAAGGAGGAAACAGGAAACCGTCCAGCGGGGGAGGGTGCCCGGGAAAGTCCCTCACAGAGGAGGAACCATCCTCTGCGCATTCCCGTGCGAGCTCTGGGGACAGCTGTTTGCGCTCTGGGGGTCCAGTCCGCCACCGCCGACCCATTTAGAGCAGCTTTGTTTTCTGCCGTTGCCTTAAAACGAAACCTCGCCGGTCATCGATAGTTGTTACTGAATGTTACGGTCGCGTTCGTAGGCAAAGCGTTACAGTCATTGCGACACGCCGAGACACGAGGCGGTCGAGGTTGCTTCGTACCTGGTAGCCTCTTACAGAAAGTGACCCATTTTTGTTTATTAGGCAGGTAAAGTTTAGTTTATAACCAACGATAACGCTCGAAGGAGGGCTTGGGTTGGTTATTTTTGCAAGGAAGAGTTACACCAGCCGTATGGTTGAGTATTAGTCATGATTTCCTACTCGCAGGTGTGAGGATGTTTGGGAACGTTCTCGCGCTGCGGATGTGTCCTGTAACAGGGCGCTGGGAGGGTAAGCTTCAAACCAGTGCTGCTGCAAAACAAAAATCATCTCAAAAAATGAAATTTGGGAAAGAGTGAAAGGAAAACAGTTTAGCTCCCGAGCACCACGGTACAGATAGCAATAGGCACTTCTGTGGTTTCCTTAAAAAGGGACGGGAACCTTTCGAAAAACAGGATGATACATCCAGACTCATTTGCTCTGAAATTTTCTTCCTTAGGCCACTGAAAACTTAATTATGGGGGGAGATGGTATTGAAATAATTCACCTGAAAGCAGTTCTTTCAGAAGAAGAATCAGACCAGTGTATTTCTGTGGATTTTGAGGCTACAGAGGGAAAATGGCTTTAAAGGATTTAAACAGTGCTCGCACCTTAAAGAATTTGGGTTCTTGTTCAGGAGGAGTCCCGTGTAAACAGGAGTGACTTTGGCTTTGCTGATCATTTCATGAGGCCTGCACAAAGTTTAGTGCTAATCAAAGCCTGCGTTACATTTATTTCCACTGTTACTATCTTGGATTAATTATTGTTGCCTTTTATTTAGATTGCAAGTCCATGAAATCTTTTGCACGGAGTAAATATTTTAAATAAAGATGTATGAGATTTCTAGGGCGCCTGCAGGTGTAAAATAAAGGTTCGAGTACTCTTCTACCTCAACTTTTGCACTTCTAGAACTGTTGAATTTGGAGAATTTAGTGTGCTTTAAGACAAAATACTCCTATTTGTCTTGTCTTGCCTGAAACTTCCACCGGCAGGTAAATATTTCTCAAAAAAATTTGAGCACAGCCTCCTATGCCTCTGCTGACGGCTCTGCTTTCCCATGACCTGCATTCATGTATGTCATATTCAGATAAGAAGGAGGCACAACGCTGACTAATGCCGCTTTTTTGGAAGGAAAACGACAAAAGCTGTTTGAGACAGAAATAGAAGTGCCAGCACTAAATGATAGATGAACAGCCGGTAGCAAAGGTGGCAGCTCTAACATTTCCTTGTATTTATGGAGTATTGAAATGACGAGTGTTATCTGGATTTGTTTCTCTAGGCTGAATGCTTATCTTCAGATTCAGCAGTTCTCTGGGTCCCAGGACAGGGTGTAAGAGCGCGGACTGGTTTTGTTTAGCGCAAGTGAGTGTTGCTCCCTCCCCAGAGCTGTTGTCTGGAGCGTGGGGCATGGCTGTGCCCCTCACCCACCCCCCTGCTTCCAGTCTGTTCCCGTATTTTGTCTGACAGCACTTGCTCCTTATTAACATGACTATAGCCTCTTTGTGCCCCCCGTCAGAAGAAATCCTGCACCAGAATAAATTTCAGAGGTGACAGATTGGAACAGTTTGACCAGATGACGGCACACAAATGTCTCTGAGATCCGCAGCACCTGTGGCTTTGCACCTCTTTGGCTTCGGCCCTGGGCAGGGGCAGTGGCTGGCACTGCTGCCTGCTGGCTTCTGGCTCGTCCTCTCTGGATGTTGGGCTCTGGAGTGGAGATGAGAGATTACGTGTAGACTCTGGGAGGGAGAAGGCAGTGGCCGCAGTAAGCAGTTACCTGTCTTTGCGTGTGCCTGGAAGCTCAGATGGGAGCCTATACAAAAATGTGATACTCTGTTTCGTGGAAAGCAAAACAGTCCTTCCACAGGCAATGCCATGTCCACTGGGACTGGAGTCCAGACAGGAACCCACAGAAGCCAGGAACGCTGTCCCAGGCCAGGGGGGTAAAAGCACATGGGTTTCTTTGAGGCCGTGTCTTGTCAGAGCACCTTCTAAGGCTTTTCCTCTCTTTCACCACAGGCTCTGACTACAGGTTGATTTGGCAGGTGATGGGAGGCGAAGTGGCAGGTACCTCTCTGCTCACCCGCTGCCAGGGGAACTTTTGCGGCCGCCACGTTACCGCGTTCTCCATAGATCTGCCAGACGCAGGACAGCACGGGGCAAAGCACCCCCACGGGAAGGTGCCGGGGGGGCCAGCTGCCTCCCAAGAAGGGCCAGGGCATGCCGAGCCCCGGGCGCCGCTTCGGGGTCTGCGGGCCGGAGTGCCTCAGCCCCCTGCCCTTCCGGGGGAGGCAGCTGGGCCCCCGGCCGCACGCTTCGCACGGGGCTTTTGAGCCCAGCCGGGTGCTCCCCCGGTCTGCAGAGAGCCCCCCCCCGGCCCTCCCCGGGCTGAGGCTCGCCCCGCTCGCCGTGACCCCGGCGAATGCGGCGGGGAGCCCGCGGCCCCCGTGGACTCGGAGCCGGGGAAGACCTTTGCGTTCGGGCAGCGGGGCTCCCCCCGGCCCCCAGCATCTGGGCGCCGGTCGCAGAGAGACGTCCAGGCTGGAGGGATCGTCCCCGGCTGGGAGGAGCCAGCGGCTCCGCTGCTGTAAACAGTGCGGGCACCGCCAGCGGTTGGAAGATGGATATAAATAGGGAGGCGGAGGGGAGGCAGCCGGAGCGGAGGAGCGGGAGCTGCCTGCGCCTGCCTGCCCCTGCCTCCGCCGCCTGCAGCCGGGGTGCCCGGCAGCCCGGGTCGGGAGCTCCCGAGAGGCGGCGTACAAAGTTTGCGGCTCGGCGCTGCCGGGGATAGGTAAGCGGTCTTTGCAGCCGAAGTTTGAAACGCGCCGGTGCTTCTCGTCGATCTGCCGCTGGGGTTTTCTCCTCGCCGGCTCTCCGTTCGTACTGCTGTTGTGGTTGCCTCGCCGTGTCCGGGGATGTATGGAGCCGGGAAGGGGGGAGTTTTCTGTTTTCGGTCTTGCTACGTTAAGCGGAGGGGGGGGGGGGGGAGGAAAAAAAAAAAAAAAAAAAAACCCAAAAACACATCAAAAGCGAAATGTGCCTTTGCGCCGGCTCCGTGCAAAGCCGCGGCGAAGGACCCGGCGCGGCGCACGTGTTGCGGGCGGGGGCTGCCCCGCGGCTCCGCGGCTGCGGGCAGCAGGTAGCGGCTGCCAGGGCAGCCGGGACGCGCCGACCGCGGGGAGCCCCGGG